GGCGATATTTATATAGTCAGTTTTCTTGAACAACGAGTGTTATGGTGTGAAATAGATCAAGTAAGTGAATTGTAGTTATTATAAATCTTATTTAATTCATTATAAATCCGATTTTTATAGAACGGATTAACAACATAACACAGTGTTATCTATTTAACACCTATTATCAACTCTGTATTATGATGATTCTATTTTAACTAACTTTACTATCATCCAGATTCTTCTTGTTCCCGGAGCGGATCAAATAACCACAGTGTCAAAAGGAGAAAATTGAAATATCTCAATACAGGTATTAATATTTTGTCTTTAGTTACAGGACATGACGATATATTTTAGGGTAGACTTACCATCTATCACTGAGCTATTGAGTATGATGAGATGTAAGAACAGGGTTTAATTAACGTAGAAATTAGGGGTCCAATAGGTCGAATATAGGATATTTCATTGAGAAAGGTTGATTCATGGTAACATAAACATCATTGTGCCACTAATTTAGAGCGGTATAGAAGACGGTATATTAGAAGTTTCAAAAAGTTGTGAGGTAACCCCCGGGTGTTTAACACAGCAGACCTAAACACTATGTGACTCTAACATTTCATACCATCTATTACACAACAGATGTATAGAATTTTCGAGTCCTTAACTGTTATAACAACGGATACACCATACGTTCACGGAAGATATCGCATAGATAGATCTCCTGAGCAAAACCTTCGTATTGGATAGTTGATTTAACCCTGAGATAAGACGGGCTAGGCCTAGCCTAGGACTTAGCATACCGGGCTACTATATAAAGCTCCAGAGTTAGAGGTGTGATACCATTTAACATGCTCCGCACATTCATTTGTGAGCGTGTTAAAAAGGCCACAGTCAATCAAATTATCCAGTTTAAAGAGCCGAAAAAAGCCATTGTAGTGGTTGAACCGTTTGTTTGTTTATTGCTAAGCGCAAAGCTATACAATAGGCTATCTGACAGTGTTCACAAGTGATATCGAAACCCGGTTTTTTAGCATTATAAGCCTACAGATTTACCGCTGAGCCACTAGGAGCGGCTGGTGTTGCTGGCTATCTTCCCTCTAGTTAAAAGTTAAGGATGGCTATTCCTGAATTTTAGGGGTCTCTGTCCTGCTCGTCTGGACCATGCACGTGCGCATAATGTAAATCGGGATAAATTGTTGAAAAAGCCTTCATTAATAGTGCAGGATATTAATTCTATTTTTAAAGTACGTGACATCTAATGTGATATAAAGAGTGGAATTACAGCAGATAAAACATGTTTGAATGTTTTTGTTAAAGCTATTTACTTAACGTCTGAGATTGTGACAAAACTTGGGAAATATTGTGTAGAAATTTTGTCAAAATAAAAAGCCCATTCCTGCTGCTAGTCTGGATCTGAACTTAGATCTCAGTTGTACGACCTGGGAGGGACGGGTTGAATCTAGAACTCTTCCTCCCTCCTTGACTATTATTATTTCAAATGCTGTGGGATAAATTCACGAGAATTAGCGAACAAAAATGAACTTGTTTCACTATTCCTTTTACCATCTTTAAAGCCACGTCCATGAATTTCAAACTTATAGCATTTCGTACTATTACCACTTCACTTGTTCGATAGCTTTTAGCCCACAAACAGTTTGTTGGGAACGTAAATTTTCCTTAGATCACACTACCAGAGGCGTATTTAACGTAAATACCCTAACAATACACTTGTGATACATTGATCTAGTTGATATCGTAAGATCTGGATAAGGCTAACTCGTTTGGTACTATACCCTGGATGTGTATCTTATTGAACTTGTGAGTAGTGTTTATGAATATATGGGTTATTTGTGGGTGTAAAATGTTGCTTAGCAATATTGGTGAGAAGAGAGATGCTGTTACGTGATTGCGAGAATTTTGCTATTCTCTGACGAAATCTATAAATGTGTTTTTAACTGCTTCTATTGTGGGGTTATTTTCTGTATTTGTGGGCACTGTTTCTGATGATTTTGGTATGTCTACGTGCGAGATATTAATTGGCTGAACATTTTATTGAGTCACGGGTTGTGACCCGTTTTGTTGACTTGGGTGTTTTTTGATCATGCGAGTGTGTACGTGTTGTTTCTGCATATAGTAGTGATGATGTAGGCTGTGTATATGTAATTATAGACTGTGATGTTGGTAGCAATGGCGTTTTCCTGGTTGATTTTTGTGCGTTTATTTCCATGTATTGCGTAGTTGTTTCAGTGGGTTTAGAATTAATATATACGTTATAAGTTATTGCTTTGAAGCCCTCATATTTAGAACATTTGTTGAATTTCGCGCAAACCTACTCGAGGGCTATCCGTCCCTAATTTGGAAGTGATACACTAGATGGAAGGTAGCTAGTCAATACCACTTGCTACCAACTCTTTACAAATGAATAATGGGTTGACCTTCATCTTATAACACCATTACCACGGCTGAAAGGGCAATCATGTTCGGCGAAAGGTTTTGATCCCGTGACCTGACCCACGACTTGCCTGTCGAACGCCTTAAACCACCAGGCTAAAAACGGGTTAAGATTTAACACATCATGCAACTATGGAAACAGCAGTTTCGTTTCCCGAAAAGTGTTGGAAGTAACGCGCAAACTCTCATGTAATTATATTATTAAGAGTGTTCCTGGTAAATGTACCTCAAATATATGAAAACTAATATTTATTAAAAGTGTTCCTGGTAAAGTGGGAAGGCAGCTAGTTAACTCCACCCATTGAAAACTCTTCAGATTCTCTAATCGATCATAGGATTTATTGTTACATTATAACGTTCCCACGGTTGAAAGAACAAGAATATTGGATGATGGTATTCGAACCTGCGATCCACATATTGCAAGTCGAACGATCTAACCATGGAGTAAATGTTAAGTTGTTCTCCAAAATAATTCAAGTTAGCTTCTCTTACAAAAGTCTTCAAAGTCAGATTTTTTTCAAAATCACCAAAACCATCGAAAAACATTTTTTTACAAGTTTAATTTCGTAACAAGTTAGCTACTTTTCAATTCACATTTTTTAAGCCCGAAATTGAGATTATGACAGGAATTTACTAATTAGACAATGATAAATTTTTGTCAAAGTAAAAAAAAATTAGTAACACTTTTAGTTAAAATCTAATGTGTATGGATATCCGTTAAAGTTAATGGCAGCAGCTTCAAAATAGCTTTAAACCATCTGGAGCACGCTGTCCAAAGATTTATGGGGCTTATCTTTTCCATGTTTACTATACACCATAAAAATAAAATTGTGACAACTAAAAAAATTCTAGTTTTCGTCATTATACGTATTATGTCACTTCTGACATTTAGTTATAGCGACACTAGTGGATTTATATTCTTCGTGTTGTCGTGTGTTATTCTATATTTTGTGTAATTGTTTAAAACTTTGATTTGGGACGAAAGTTCCATTTCTCGTCTAAAGTTTTGGTTTACAATCACAAGCCTTTTAATGGTGCACAGATACGAAAATTAGTTTGTTATCCTGAGAATAAATAACTATATACAAACAATAGCATAAATTTAAAAAATACTAATTAATAGAGCTGATGAAGCAATAAAACAATTTTCAATATCATTTATAAGATAGTTAGTATCCGTGCAAACACTGTTAATTAAATAACAACTTAAGGATATTCTATATTAAGTGAAATATCTTAGTCAACAGCTGCGTCACATTGTTAATTTTAACGGTGGGCAACAAGTAGGAAGGAACAAAATTCCCGATTTTGTGGCCATGGTTAGAAACTGCAAGGTATAACAATGGTATGGGAAAAACAAAACAAAAAAAAAACATCCTAAAACGCTCATTAGCAGATTTTATTTATCTATTTTCCCAGTTAATGCAGCATGTACATGTTTAATACAGATCAAGTAGCCATATTGAACAAGTTTCTTTGCTCTCCGAAACACTGTTTGACAAAAGTGTTTTCTTAAAACTGGCGAACCGCTGTATGGACTGTCACCAAACCTGGCATTGTTCCTTAAAGCTCCAGAGACAAGAGGGGGTTCGGAATGGGGATCTAACTCCCTTCCATTGATTGACTACAACCAGTATTTCACTAATTTTGGCAGAACATCCAACAAAACGTTAGATGCTCATGATCACAAAGTGAACAAGTTTCGTTAAGAAACTCATTCAAATTTATTAAATTTAAAATTAGAAGACTAAAATGTAATTTTGATGGGAACAACTTAAGTGTTATGAAAGAAAAGAACGTGTTCGTAGTTCATCACCATCTAAGTAGTGCGTTGTTTCTAGTGGTAGGGCAAACAAGATTTTAGGTCGATGTACAGAAATATTGAATGCCACTGCTTACAGGACTGCGACACAACTGTCGCTTCTAAACACTTCAACATCTTGGGGGAGTGCGCGTAGCAAGGAAATTCTACGCACGAAGGAAAGTTTGTGGATTCACGAGATAAGTCCTGAATTAAATGCTAATAAAACAGCTTAATCTTTCCCCGTGAAAGTTTAAAGAGATTATTGGATAAGCCAAATTTGGAGTATTGCATTCAGTCCGACTCCTTACCTTAGGAAGGACATTGAATTGTTGGAAAGAGGTTCAGAAGAAGGTTTTTAGGATGGAAAGGTCATACAGAAACATGTTAATATTTCCGAAATAGTTTTCTATAGAAAAAAAAAAAAAAAGGGTTAAAAGGGGGATTTAATCGAAGTGTTTGAGTGTGTTAAGGAAATTGAGTGCTAATACATCAACTTTTTTCGTACTTAATGGTGAGAAACTCAAGACTAGAGGAAACAAATTTTTGCAGTTTGAGAGTCATTATTTTTGTTATTTATTTTAACAGGGTAATTGGCCTTTGGAATAGGTTGCTTTCAGATACAATGGACGCAGGTAATTAAAGTGAAGGCTTGTCAAATACTCAATGATAAAAGCTGGTTGCGAGCGTTATCTATTTTAAAGTTCTTTATTTCTGCCCCCCCCCCCCTCACGTATTTAACAAACACGAGGAATGTTGGAGAAAAAAAAAATTTATTCAAGAAAAATACATACATACATTAAACGTGTTTGGACACGATAGAATTAATTCTACAAAACATCTATATTAAAATAAAATACATCTTAAAAACATCAACAGTGTTTGGTCTCGAGATGTGAGCATAGCCTAGTATAATATAATAAAAAGTGCAAAATATTCTGGAATAATCACAGGACATTTTTACTTCTTATTTTGTGTATTCTAATAAACAACCCTGAATTTTTCTGTGACTAACTGCTATCATTAAAACACCAAATTTCAGCTATAATAAAACTTTTTAAACTACCGAGATTCTCGATGCCATTCTGGACTTTGTATTATTTAAAGTCTAAACTATTTCACTAAATTTATCAGTAAAACGTATTTCAATTTATTTATTTTTTCTCTTACATTTTATTTTTGACTGCTTATATACTGATTATTTATTACAAATTACATAAATTAGTTTAAAAAACTTCAGTTCATAATAAAAATACAACCATAAACCATTTATAGCCAAGACTACATACAGTATATAATTTAAGAAATAAAGATACTTCTTAAAAAGTTCAAGTGAAGTTCAGATTCAAGTAAAGGGTGTCTACCACTCAGAATCTAATCTTTCAATCTTTTCAATATAAACGAGTGTTCATAAAAACAACAATTTTTCAGGTGTCCATAACCTGATCCAAAGTTTTAGAGCATTTTTTTTTTAACTAGTTCACTACAAACCATTAAAATATTCTGTAGTAAACAGTTCATTACCAATTCTAGATGTTTTCAGATGCTTATGGAATCTTTCTGAGGCTAGCTACCAAGATATTATTTACATAAGGAGTTTTCTTCGCACTAATATTTCAGCACAATGGTAACCAGAGTAGCAATAGATATCAATAGCCATTGATGAACCAGAGAAGACGTGGCACCATTACCAACCTGTCTTCTAGCATGGTTCTTTCCACCAGTTACATGGATCTTCCAGCCCAAGTTTCTATGAGTGAAGCACTAGAAGAATACCAGTTAAACATTAAATATAGATATTGGAGACAGATTTTTTTTTTACATTAATTGTGTGTAGACAAGCTAAGAAAATGAAATCTTCATCAGTACACATAGTACTGGTACAACAGTATCTTAAGAATTATTTCAAAATTGAACCTGGAATTCAATGTTATCAGCATGGTCCTTGTATTGCAAGTATGGGGTTCATTTTCTACATAAAATTACATAAGGGACCCCCTCCCCTGTAGCAGTTAGTAGAATTAATTGCAGTACTAACAGCATTGGTTTCACTTCTGTTATTGTGTTAGATCCTACAAGTAAAGTCATAAATGCATAAGTACCATGGTGCATGAACCAACAAAAAACTGTAGACACACGGGTTAAGTATTTTGAAATAGTAAGCAAACATTAAAATATCACCTATAAATTAATGTTATTTGCCACTGCAAGTTCTCACTTCTCATAAACTAATTATTTTTATTATTTGAAATCAACATTTAAATTTTAAAATTAAATGTGAATCCGATTCAATCACTCCTTGTCCCAGAGGTAGTTTTGGAGAGTTCCATATAAACACACACACACACACACACACACACACACTTCATATTTAATTAGATTGTTAATAACTTCTAAAAAATATGCCAAAGATTTTACCATTAGAATTTTACCCTAGGTAGGGGTTAGCAGTTGGCTCTAAAAATACTGTACCCAAAGTCTTGACAACTTCCAGTATTAAAACTTGTATTAAGTGTGTGGGATCAATTACATAAATCAGGTTTATCCTAAAATGGTGTACCTAACCTACAAGTGTGAAAGATATGGATAAATCACTAAGAGAATATAAAGTTAATTATGACTAGGTTTCAAAAAAGAAAGGAAGGAAAATAATTAAGAGCAATTCAGTAAAAATGATTGGAGAAAAAGAAACGAGCAGAAAAATACCTGGTAATACACTAAATCAGGAGTATCATCATCAGGCAGCCAAACAAACTTTCCTGGCTTGCCATCTTTACATTTCAGTTCTAGAGTTTGTTTATAGTCTTCAAATGTTTCTGATGTGGCTGACATATCAATAGTTTTATGCTTCCATTCACATAATCTTCCAACTATAAACAAGTTTCAAAAATTAGAAAATCAATAAAAAACCTACATGATATACAGTAACACTACATTAAATTTAAGTACAATTTTGTTATCAAAGTAATGTGCTAATTTTAGAGATAAATACATAGAATACTTTTATTTAAAAATCAACCCATAGGGGTTATTTGACATTCTCTCAGAATTTTTCAAATATCTTAGGTTTACAATTTTGTCATTGTATTTAAAATAACTTTCAATTTTTTTTAAAACCCAGATTAGGCTGAAATGCTGAAAAGTAAATGTGTAAAATGTTGTGTATCACTAAAATGCAAGAAGTGTAAGAATTAAAAATACCACTTTCATCTTGTTAAATAAACAGTAAATACAGTGAAATATGTAATGAAAAACAAATCAAATTAATACCTTTTATCTTTTTAAAAAAATGAAGTCAGTGTTAAGAAAGAGGGTTAACAGTAATCTTACCTCCTATAGGTTTTAAAGTTCCCTTCTCAGTTTCCACTCCTGCATAGATTTTATGTTCCTGAATGATAGAGAGATTTGTAAACACATTGAAAAAAGAGAGAAAGGAAAAACCTATTCTAAAATTTGATCTCTCACCTCCAATATGGTAAAGTACAGGCTGGTATAAGAGTCACAAAATTTCATACAATATGAAAGAAAATGAAAGTATTACTTATGTACAGTTATTACCATTTGAAGAAAAAAGAGAGAGAGAGAATAAGCACTGGAATGGAGCAGTTTTTTCTTAAAATATTTGAATATAATTATTCACATCTGTAGTTTAAGTTTCAATGTCCAAGAATAGGTATGTTAAACAACTACACACGCAAACATAAAACACAAGAATAATATATAGAGCTGAAGACGTACAGCTGAACCAAGTTTGTCCAAGAATTGGCCTCCACCTCCTTCAGCATTGTTGGTAATGTATAATGGATGGTATTCTGCAGTGTTGGTGGGGTCAGAGCCACCTTCCACAATAAATGTGTAGTTCTTACCCCGCTCAACAGTAATCTCTGGTATTAGAAGATCATTAATCCACCAGGCAATACCCCATGATTGATGACCTGAGAGGAAGTAATTTTATATGAATTAAAACATAAGATAAAGAGCATTTCTGGCAAATACACCATTTGTTAATTTTCTTTATTCTTAAATTAAACTATATATACAGACCTGTAATTGGTGTGTAACCTTTGTCTCCTCCTGTTGGTCCAATACGAGCTTCAAAAGTGGAAACACCGGAAATCTTTTGGGGAGGCCAGACTTTCACTTTATCACTTTTTTCACTCATTCCTCCCAAGAGTGAACTACATTTAGAAGCAGGTGTGCGTCCAAAATCAATGCGAATGGTATCTGCAATTATTCATATCAGTTGACTATTACAATAGCTACAATTCAACATCTGTACTTTATTCAAAATGTAATGACAAACACAGATGTAAGTACAAGAAACATATCTGAAACAAACCTTTTACATAGACAGGATATGAAAAGTATAAAACTTTTTGGCTAGAACAAGTGCAAAAAAATGTTCCAGTATTATACAAATCTACACAAGAAATGTCTTCCCTATATCTTTAATATTCTGCAGAATGGAGAGTATGTGCATCTTAATTTAACATCTTTCAAACACCTCACAAATAAGAAAGTCATTAAAACATCTGATAGGTATTTTTGTGGCAAATATCAAATGGGCAAAAAGAATATGATTAATGGTGGAATGTTCCCCTTTGCCTTTTCTAATAAATTTGTTATGAAAAAGAATACTTGAACCAACGTTTTGTGTAGAAGTGTGTGTGGAAAGCTGCCTCATTCTGGCTATTTAGTGGACCGATGGCAGCCACAACGGTGATTTCTCCTGCCTCTGGGATTGACTGGTCTTGAGTATCACCTAATGAAGTCCGAAGAATAAAACATTTGGAAAAGTTAGAGTACTATAACCATTAAGAAGTTACAAAATAAGTGAAGTATTTATAGTAGTAGGACAATTAAATAGGCAAAGTTAACAGTTAATTACTAGCATTAATAGGCTTTTGGAGGGTGATCAGCATTTATTTATCCTAGCACCAATTGTACACATGTTCATAATGACCCTGTACATACTCACTCTGTAGCCATCTCATGGTTGAAGATTTACTTTCTAGTTTAATCTCCAAAAGTTAAGATATTTAACTATTTCACATATTTCTTGACCCGAGCTATGGTAAACTGAAATTGTAAACACAAACAGAAGAAAACAGTCACAGCTACCAAGGAAGGGTAAGTTTTTTGAATGCCTACAAGATCTTTGTTAATAACATTTTAACTCCAGTTTTATTACTACAAATAAAGATGTAGAAATTCAGATTGACAGAATCACTCCTACACTTGTATGTTAATGTTAAAGACAATTTAATATTGGATTTATGTTCATAAAAATAAACAAATGATATTCAGATTGTTTTACAAGAAAAAGCAGTGAAAATGTGAAAGGTACTACAAGTTAAATATTTATCAAAGAAATACTACAATTTGTCTAAGAATCATGGAAAAATCTAAGTTTTTAATCCTTATACTAAAATCTATGTAATTTAATTTTACCATTTTTTCTTATAAAAGAAATAAAGTCTGAGCTTACCAGTATAAAGTGGTCTTTTATAGGTCACTTTCAAAATTCCATTCACCTTTTCCCAGGAAACAAGTTGAGAATTTTCCTTTCCACCAAGTTTCACATCAAGACAGACACCACTTCCCTTAGAACACTAACATAAGTAAACAAAATACAAGTTCAATAAAACTAGAAAGTGAAAGGCATTTGTTTAGTTTCATCAATATGGCAAGAAATCAACCAACCATTCTCTAAATATCTTAGTTAAGTGTTATCATTTGATGACATCTCATTAGATTAATAAATACGAAAAAAAAACAAACGACTATTTTATTTTCAAGATGGTAGCTGGGCACATGGGAAAAAATTAAGTTGGAGAAATATTAGTGCACTACTATTATCTTTAGGATGATTTGAAGATTAATCAATACCATCATAATTTTAGTTGGACATTACTGGTTTTATTTATTTATTTATTCTGTACCATTACCCAGTAATCGTGGTCCTAGGGGATTTGGTTCAATCGTATTTAAAAACCATCAACAAAAAATTAAATAAGCAACAATTGTTTTTGTAAATTATGTAAAAGTGACATGAAATTAACGTTTTACAAGTATTTTTCAGCCAAAAACTAAGTTATACAATTTATAGTAGCAATAGCAAAAAGTATTTTTCTGTTGTTGTGTTATACCAGGTTATATAATAAACGACAGATAATTCAGAAAAAAAATCTTAAAAATAACAAGACAATTTTTAACCCTTAAACATATGCTCAAGTGCTTTTGAATAAATGTTTTTTGCTATAATTAATATTCTCAGAGTAAGAATAACAACTTGGATAAGATGTAGTGCAATTGACACTTTTATTTTCACACTTAATTTCTTAGAATTAGAAAGATGGCAAGGTTCTCGATGGACTAAAAGTGAAACTGAATATATAGAATTTTTTTTAAAGGTTTTATTAACCCACAAGTTCTCCAGCTCTTTAGAAGTCCAATTATCAGGTGGAGTTGCAACACTAATCCATTGTGATCCATATAGACAAATGAAGCAGTCTAAAACTGCCAAAGTAGGGATTGAAGATCATTTAAAATTTATACAATTAGTATCACTTTATGCTGCAATAAAATGTACACAAACAAGTATTTTGTTTTGGATACTTCCAACAATTCTATAAATAACCAGTGATCCCTACTTTCCATTTAAATCCCCTCCCCTCAAACTAATGCAGTGAAAATATTGGGATCACTGTATACTGCAATCATTAGAATCTAACTACTTGTCCCTCACCTGAGCTTTACTGGTAAGCAAGTAGTCCACTGCTCTGGCCAAAGAGTTTTCACCATCATAGAAAACTAATGTAATATCAGCTCCAATCATTTTTGCTTTATTATCATCTCCACTCCTTCCAAAGCCCATGTATTCATTCTCCTCTGTTTATAGAAACAAAATTCATACTAAACTTAGTAATCAATTATTAAAGATTAAACAAGACTAATCTTAGCTAAATTCATATGAATATTTATAAAACTAGTAATTTCAATAGGTATAATTATGTATTGGGGCAAAGGTAAAAACTATCACAAAACATTTTTTTTGTTACACATATCAAGTAACAAGACTCTTGTAGTCTTAACAGTGAATCATCTATACACGACCTGGGTAAAGTTCCCAATGATCTAACGTTCATGAAAAAAAAAAAAGACCTTCTAAAACAGTGAATATATCAAATATTTCAGCACTAAGAACAAACTTCTGTAATTAGTCAGGATTTAGGAACCTAACATTTAAACAAAGAACAATTGAAAACAAAGCTTTAAATCAAGCATTATTAAAGCTAGACTTTCATTTATCTGTGGATATTTCATAATCTTGTTAACAATAATGGGTTTCTCCTATCAAACTGTTCCATTTAAAAAGAGAATACAAGTTATTTTATGGTGTATGGTATAGTACCATTCTTATTTTCTTCTTCCTCTTATAGACAAAAAATGATAATCATGTGATCTAATTTGTGCTTTTAATTTATTGTTTAAGCATGGTCAAGCTTTTTTTTTTCTCTCCCTTTAATTACATAGGTTTTGGTTTCCTTAATTATTTGGATCAATGTTTCTAAGAGTTAAGCTCACTCTTTTGTTCATTTCCATAATTACATTTCTTGGGATGGATTTTGCACATACTTTTACACTTTGCATTTTGAGTAGCTTTATGCAGTTATCACAAAACTATAACAGCTGTGTGGCAACATTAATAGTTGTTTGAGGCTTATTAGGACCTTTATTAAAGCAAGATTTTGTAGCATTTATTTTTAAAATTAACATCAAATATTTCAAGACTTTTACTTGCCTAGTTTTCCTTCAAGTTGTATGTAAATATCTTCTCCCTCTATCTTCCAACTTACTTGCATTTTTCCAGGAAAAATTTCTTCACAATTATGAAACTGGAAGTTCTGAAAGATAACAAAAGGAAGACTGAAAAAAGTTTTTTTTTTTTTTTTTTTTTTTTATAAACAGAAAAAATAAAAAACTTGAATAAAGCTTAGAAAAGGTGCATACAATAAAATATTACAAGTCTTAAAAGAAAAATTCTGAATTAGCCTTCCAGCTTACCAAAGTTTTAAGAGCTTGTAAGTCAGCAGGTATATTAAGTTTCTCATGGTCTGGTATATTCACATGTCCAAAGTTCTCTTCAAATGAAATACAGTACAATCCAAACCATTCGATATCAAATACAGTTATGTCACCAGGCAAGCGCAACGTAACATTTTTACCCTGGTACCCACTGAGTTTTTTTAAACTAGATGAAAAAAAATAATAAGATTAGAATATTGTTACCTCAATAACTAAAGCAATATTTATTATGGAAACATTGTTTCACTTCAGATTAACAAAAAACAAATATTATCATGTTACAAATTAATGATTTATGACCATGCATTTCTATCAAGTTTGCTGTGCAAGACTGGGTAAGTTAATTTTCAAATTTTTTTAATTCCAATCAATGTAGTTAGCTTATTTGTGATTGGAAGTTTTTTCATTTTTTGTTTTGTTTTTAAACAATAATATTTTGGCATTACATGTAGTGACTGCAAATTCAGTTATAAAATAAAATAATTGACAAAAGAAATGACCATAAATATTAGCCACATTAAACATTTTCTGCCTAAAACTTCATCACTAAAGTAGTACTGATACAGAAAGTAAAAGATAATTTGTCAAATGTTTTGAGTTTACATGATTGTTTTTTGTAGCTAAAATGGCACCCTTATTTTCTGGTTCATTTAACAAGCAACTAATAAATTAAGGAAATTGTAAATTTTACAGTCACTTTTGAATGAATTGTGTTTTTAGAAGTTCAAATAGTTTAATGATGTTTTGCTAAAGACTAAACTAAGTACTACTTGCTTTGACTTGTAATATCATTAATAATTTGATATTCCAGATGTTTGACCAAGAAATAAGTAATTTAGGTCAAATGGTCAAGTTATCCATACAATTGTGTCAAAGACTTCATATAATGAGACCTAGACTTTCCAGGATCAAATTCTTTCAGGAGATAGCACAAGATCCACACACTTCCACCTCCAGCATTTTAAAGATATTTTAAAAATAAAGTATCAAGCAAAAGTAATTATTAGTGTTTAATTACCTTCCATTTTCATCTGGTACCTTAGTTCCCTTTGGATTAGGCTGTCCTTTTCCCACCAAAAAGAAGGCATCTAATACACAATACATGAATAATAATAATAATAATAATAATAAAACAAACCTTATTTTAGTAAAAAATCTCTTCAAACAAAAATAAATGTTTAAATTTATTTCAGGTACACATTAAAAAATGTTTTAAGCTGTAAGTAATCTTGAAAAAACAACCAGGATAGACTTAGGATTTACATGATTTCATTAATATAAACAGTGAAAATAAGAGTATGTTACAACTGTTTATCTGCAAACGTTTACTCTTATCAACTTTACACACGGTATTTCAAAACTATGGTTCTTTAATTAAAATTTATTTAATTCCAGTTTGGAAATCTTTGATGAACAAGGTAGTTTGAAATCAAAACTACAACAAATCAAAATACAACTCAATTAAGCTTGATTTTAAACTCCTGGATGATATAGGTTGCAAGACAAAGTGAATATTCTATCCTTATGTAACAAGAGAGCTATAACCAATTCATATTACCCCAAATTTAAAACAAACTAGAATTAAGTTACCTGGAGCAGCTCCATCATAATATAGATTAGGGACAAAAATAGTCTTCACATCCTTGATTACAACAGTGCCAGAGTGAGTTCCATGACCAAATTGGGGAATAGCTCCAACAGGATATTCTTTAGGAGGTTGAAATCCATTTGGAATCATTACATGCCCGAAGTCAACCTGTAAATATAGTTGCTCTAAAATAATGTATCTTTAAAGTCTAATAGTGGAAGAAAGTATTTTGAAAAATTTAACTCAAAGTGAAATAAAATTAGCTATTTTAGCTAAGGTGAAAGAATTCTAGTAGCAAGAATATTATAGTAGCAGTGTTTGTAATATTATAAGTAGAGCAAAGTTTATAAGAACATAATTACAAGATTTCAAAAAAAACTCCATACCATAAAAAAAATATTACTTTAGTGTAGTCTTACCTAGTCTGTGATTATTGAAAATAAGTTAAGTCTGAGGATTCTAATATGCTTTTAATAGTACTTGTCAAGACCTTCATGAATGTATTTTAGATGAAAGAATTCCACAATGAAAAGTATTTAAAATAGTCCAGACAATTACAAGTCACCTCCTAGTTACTGGGCAATTCGTAGTCTCAACAGTCAAAAATAAGAAACCTACCAAAGTGTGTTTAATCAGAAATAAGAACTAAATACATTAAGATCCACAGGAAAGTAAGGAGCTTATCAGATGGAAGTTATCACAGGGTTTAAAAAAAAAAGTGTGTCAAAGGAGGTTTTTTCGATATATAAGCTTTTGTACAATAGAACCTCTTAGCATTATGTAACTGTTACCTCTCCGTTTGTTAATTAACTTTCCGTAACTTCGTTCCCGGTATTGTTGAAGTTAACGTTCGTTCGTTACAGTGTTGTTTTAGCGCGAGTATTGAGATTAAGTGTATCGCAGAGTTATATTCGGAAAGAATAAATCAGTTTTATTAAAAAAGGACTTGTGTCGCTTAAGTTTCGTCAACTGGTTTATTCTTTCCGAATACAACTTTACCGATACACTCAACTTCAACAATCGCGCTAAACAACACTGTATCAACGAACGTCAATAATACTTCTGACTGCAGTTCAATTACTCACTATCTACCCAGACACGTTACATTCCCCTCTTATATATATCCGCCTACTCAACACAAATTACCTTCGCGTCACGTTTTCCCCTCTTATATATACCAGCCTACCCTACTAGTAAATACTAGACCATTCGCCAAAGTACATGATAATTCTAGAAACGTTGCGTCACTGTAGCCATGTGACTCGCTGACGCAACACTGCCCCTCCTTAATATTGTTCGTCCCGAACAATAACCACATATAATAAACCAATAACAATTAACAATAACTTAATTAACTGTACTGAATTACAAACACAAAATTACAATTCGACAAAGTCTTAATTTTACGGGACGTATCTTCTTCCGTACTGGTCTCCGTCTTGTTGGCTTCTGTTTCATGTGGGGTTCATCTACTTCATCAGTAAATGTCCCATCATCGGTAACAGTCACATCAGTGGTAGTAACTTCACCAAGAGCTTCACCATTTTCCTTCCCAAACCTGAGTAGAGTTTCTTCTTCGATGGTGGCTTCTT